TTTTTGATTCATCCCTCATTCTTTTTCTCTCCTCTGTCAATCATCAGAAACCAATCCCACTTTCCGACCCCACATACTACACAAAGAGCCAAGATGCTCGAGTTCTTCACGTACAAGAAACTGAAGAAGCACCGGGAGGAGAAGGCTGAGAAGCAACGAATATTAAAAGAGGAGAAGACCAAAGAAAAAGGAAAGGGGAAAGAGATCGAAGACTCCACGAAATCCAGCCCCGCAATTTCCAACTCCGAGTCTTCGAGCTCCCCCGACGTCGTCTTGGAGAGACTGGAGGGTATGCCTATCCTCGACAAGGAGGACGAGAAGTTCCTTGAGCGGCTTACCTCTTCATCAGATATCAGCGATGACGACGAGACGCCGCCGCCGCCTTTGCCGCCGCGCATCAAGACGCCTGTGATTGAACTGGACAGCGATGCCTCCAGCTTCGCCAGCAAGGATGGGAGCGATAAGAAGCAAGGTGGCTCTACCAAGGAAGCCAGCAATGGCGAGACTAAAGAGGGAGAGAAAGACAAGCCCAAGCGCTTCGCCTTCGTCACCAACCTCTCGCGGAGCATAACCCACAAGCGCAAGCACGACCCGGACCAAGACAACAAGAAGAAAGACCAACAGCACCTGGCCGTGCCGGCCAAGACCTCCTCCGCGGACCCGGGACAGGAAGCCGAAAAGGAGGAGAGCGACATGGCGCACGTACTAGAGGACCTGAACCTAGCCGCGTCCACGGACAACAAGGCCTTCTCGCTGTCGCGCGAGTCGGCGGAGACGGTGCGCAAGTTCACGCAGGTGCTCAAGGACCTGGTCAACGGGGTGCCGACGGCGTACGGGGACCTGGTGGGGCTGATCGAGGACCGCGACAACGTGCTGGCGCGGTCCTACGAGAAGCTCCCCAAGAGTCTGAAGAAGCTCGTCGCGCAGCTGCCCGACAAGCTCACCTCGTCGCTGGCCCCGGAGCTGCTGGCCGTGGCGGCCGAGGCGCAGGGTTTAGAAGTCAAGGCCGAGGAGGAGGGCGCCAAGAAGTTCCTCAGTCCTGGAAACCTCATGGAGCTCGTCACGAAGCCGGGCGCGGTCGTCGGTTTGCTCAAGGGTATTGTGAACGCACTGAAGACCCGCTTCCCCGCGTTCATCGGCACCAACGTGCTCTGGAGCCTCGCGGTGTTTTTGCTGTTGTCCATGCTGTGGTACTGCTACAAGCGAGGCCGAGAGGTGAGGCTGGAGAAGGAGGCCGCGGCGGCGGGGGAAGGGGGCGCGGTGCTCGGAGAGGTGGAGGAGGTCGACGATATCGAAGGCAAGGAGAGCAATGGCGTTGGCAAGACCGTGCCGCTCCTCGAAGGCGTGCCGAGTGCGTCGCAGCCGGCGATTTCCGTGTCTGGTCCGGCGGTGGAGACTCGAGGGACGAGGTAATGAATCGCGGGAGTTATAGAGAAAAAAAACAGAGAGAGAGGTTTAAAACGGTGGTAGGGAAAAGAAAGGGGCACGAATTAGCTGGTAGATGCCCATCTACCCACCGCCACTCATGATGTCATGAAGGTTTACGTATGATGGATAGTTATTAATACGGAGATACCCGGTTGTTTTTGCTTGCTCGTACACAATGGATTATACATTTCGATGCGTCGCGGATGATGGTTACTCGGGATAGTCGACGGCTTCGGGGGGAGTAAGTGTGTTAGTGATATGGGTTATAGGATAGATAGGTATAACGTGGCACGGTTGATATGAGTAAAAGCTAGGGGTTTAAGAGAAACGGTTTTGCACTTCGAGTTATAGTAACGCTCGCTCGCTCGCTCTTTGCTCTAGGTATTATTGTACCTGTTTGTCAATGGATAGGGAGTCGATGAGTAGGACATCCTACTTGATGAATCCCAGGTTGCAGCATAATCGGTTGGAAACTTGAGGAGTACTTAGGTAGTAGGTAGCAATGAATCAACATGGAGGCGGAGCGTGGAATACATCACATGGATATCACGTACTATCCACCCCAACCAAGGAACGAAACAATGTTTCATCAAAGTGCTTATTACGTAGCCGAGGACGTAGCTTGTTTAGCCTTGCGTACACGACCACCCCCTACTGACGGACGGCCAATCAAGGCAAATCCATGATGAAGCCGAGCCAAGCCTCGAAAGACATTATCCAGCCTTTCTTTCATCTCCTTGCTAAGCGTACTAGCTCAAGAACCTCATGTCCCCCTACCTCGACCTCTTCCTCTTCCTCTTCCTCTTCCTCTACCTCTTCCCCTCCCCCTCCCCCTCCCTCCCGCCTCTCCCTCCCCCAAGCCCTCCCTAATCCTCTCGCTCCTCCTAGGCCCCAGCGTCTCCGGCGCATACGAAACCACAGGCGGGTCGGAGACCGGGGTGCCCCTGCGCGGAGACGGGCGCTAGTCGTCCTGCACGAGCTCCTTGATCTCCTCGCGGCCGGGCGCGATGCCGGCGGTGGTCTCGGCCTTGGCGTCGCGGCCGCCGGTGCGGTCGATGACGCGCGCGCCGTCGCGCATCCAGAAGTCCACCTCGTCGACGACGTCCGCGACGATGTCCTCGACGATCTGCTCGTCGTAGCGTTCTGCCACCGGGCGCACCTTGTCCAGCTCGGTGGTGGCGGTGGTGGTGGTATTGGTGGTGGTATTGGTGGTGGCGACTTTGACCGTGTCCACGTCCACCATTTGTACATCGCCGTCGCCGTCTTGGTAGCCCGGGGGAGGGTACCAGAAGTCCGGGCCGAAGTTGACCTCGGCCGCGCCGCCGCGGAACACGCTGACGGCGGGGTAGTACCCGGCCATGCCGTCGTCCATGCCCTCGCGCGCGCCCACCTGGGCCTGCGGCTTCGACGCCGGTGGGAGGAAGGCCAGCAGGTCCGTGAAGGGCGTGCCCATGAGCACGCCGTTCTTGTACACGCGGATGCACGACTTGGGCAGCGTGCGCAGCGCCGGGACCTGGTGGTTCGGGTTTGGCCTGTCGGCGGGTCGGCTGCCTATCGTCCCCGAGGGGCCCGCGGGCGACGGGTTCATGAGGTCCTCCAGCTCCTTGGTCGTGTGGTAGTCGATCTTCTCGAGGTAGATGTGCTGCTTGAAACGGATCGGTATTCTGTCTCGGACTATGTTCGCTGCCTCCGTGGTAGGCTCTTGGTCGTCCAACAGATCCACGGCTGGATTGTATTGACCCTGGACGACCTTTCGGTGTAGGGATTCTGATGGCAGCTCGATTTCGAGGCCGACCACGTCCCCCTCCTTGATCTCTTCGCCAGGAGGGAAGAAGTCTTTGGGTCGTGACATGTGTACCTTCTGACCTTGTACATCTCGAATACCGTAACTGTAGGCATCGTAACCGACTGGCGCGTCTAACGAGGCCTCGCGCCTTGCAAATCCTAGACGTACATGACCGTGCGATTCGACAGTTCCGTCCGCGTTACTCTTTGTAGTTCCCCGAGTAACCTTGCATTCCCAGTACCACCGGCCTTGGCGAACGGCAACATTGGCTCTTGCCGTTCTGAACCCCTTGTCTGTTGTTATGTGTCGGCCTTGCTGGTCCATGTACATGTGTGTGGCAGCATCTTCGAAGCTGATATGGGCGCCATAAGGTTCGGGTTCGGTCTGTCGGTAGTAGAAAGAGGAAGGGAAGGCAGGATCGGCTATGCAGTGAAGGTAGTGAAAGCTCTTCTTGTTGTAGACACTGTATATATGTTAGTAAGAAGCTAGAAATTTGCGGTAGTAAGATTTGGAGTGCGACTTGCTGTTCTGATGTTTCGTAGAATTGGATGGTAGATCCATCCGGGGCGGTGACTTCGTGGTGGTGCGTAAATACAGGACCTCGAGCTGTCTCGAAGTCAGATGGTTTAGGAGGTGCTAGCTTGTATCGCAGAGGTGAAGATTCGGTTGGAGGTAGGTCCTTGATCTTAGGATCGGGTGTTGCTCTTGAGCTATCGGCGCCTAGACCAGCTTTCGATTCTCGCTTTTTTATCGTGTCCTTTTTACCCCTTCCGGGTTTCTCGCGCGCCATAGCTGCTACGTCGTCATGCGACAGAGATTTACTAGGTTTTACATCAGGGTTGGGGTTGAGTGGTGAGGAAACCGGGGGCGCGTGGTCGTCTTCAAGAGGTCGTTTCTGGGGAATGGATATGGGGATAATAGGTGCTGGGATAGGCGTCATTTGCCGTTTTGGTAGATCCACATCGGTAGCCATAGTGATAATCAATTCGTTAATTAGTGGAGGTGCTTTGAAAAAAAAATGGATTAGACAAATCCTCGCACGCGACAAAGCTGCAATGCGGCAACAATTACAAAATGTAGTTGTAGTGTGGATTTATTTATGAGGTATGAAGAAGTACGAGGTACGAGGTATGCATGCTTATTAACCTTGCCTGTTGAGGCTCTGTACGTACTTTTTTAGTCTTTGGAGTCTGGGAGTCTAGACTTTAAGGTTAGGAAGATCTCATATTTCCGATCCTACCTTAGGTAGGTACATTAGCGTTGTACCCTTGCGATTTCCAATTACATGTAGGTAGATGTCCAAGTTAAGTGGTTGTTGCCGAATCGCTAGATGCAGCTTCCAGCGATGGATGTGAACTTCTATAAAGGCTTCCAACAATGTTATAATTTAGTAGCTTTAGCTCTCATATTTTGGGAACATCATGTATATAGATATTTCTTATTCTACATGGATAATTAGAAGGATGAGCTTAACAAAATCCAAGAGTATCAAGAACAATCAAGAATTAAATTTATGACAATGGTGCTATTAAAAAGGGTCAACATGAATGATAACTTCAAAATAGCGACATCCGTGTAGAACAAATGACTGATCGCTTTTCGGGAAGCAGCATGAACAAATTCTAGGAAAGGACAACCCCTCACCAATAAATGCTGTTAAACGTTAAAGCAAAAGAAAGAGCAGATGCGATCAATCAATCATTTCGTTAGAACATTGAAACATTTCAACCACTCAAAAACATCAATTGCAATCAGAAAACCCAATTGACGAACAAAAAAATAGAAACGACCACCACGGGACTCGAACCCGCAACCTCAGTCTAACACTGTCTATAATAGGGAGCACGTCCACTATAATAGGAGGACCGCGCGCTACCATTACGCCAAGCAGTCATTTGCTATGCATATTCTCTGGTAGGGAATATTCGATGGGTTACGCCTGGAGCGGTGAACCCATGTTTGTTGGCCTGGCCATAATTAGGTTTATATCGGTGTAGAGGAATGGCGTGGTTGCCGTGCGGGGCAATTTGGTTGGCTTGGAAGCCTGCTATGGTTGGTTTGTGAGACATTTGGTTTTTTTTGGTTCTCCAGTTGGAATTGAAACTGTGTTGAGATTCGAGATTGGTTGCGTCATCGCGGGAATTGGCACTGGGTTACGGTAGTCGGTAGGTTTGGCGTATCATTTTTGCTTGGTGCGGACCTCGGGAGTAGCTGGGTTAGTTCTAACCTGTTACGTAAGGTCAAATCACATTACGTAGATTGACTCAAGTTCATGAAAGCTCGCGATTTGTAGGCACAGGGGGAATCTAAAAGGGGTTAAATTGGTAAGATTTTATTGATGAGGCTTTTTGGTTCACGCGGAGAATGGCAACTTTATAATCTCGATTATTCTACATTTCATGCGTATGTAACATGCTGGTAAGCATCCCGTATATTTCTTGTCCAGGCCGTAAAAGTCACTAAACTGCTGGAGTGAAATTTGCAATTCTTTGAATGCCCGAGTTGATGCATGTTTCTCAACGCGACCAGCTTTAGCCAGTCACGCAGTCTGTCGAAGACTGCGTCCCAGCAGATGTGATATCTCTTATAAACCATATCTATTCCTGGATGTATCGCTTAAGTCATCTGGTTCGGCTGAGTTCCTCTCTAGCTCTTTTCTTCTTTCATCGCCCAGGAGTCGTGGTTCTTCCAGATGCGCTAGGCACATGGCAGTGGCATAGTCCCCGTCGTGGCTGATACTGACACGCGCATACGCATCTTCGTAGATGCCGTTGCCAGTGATGATGGCTACCGGCGGGCTTGAGAAGTACCTGTCATCCGCCTCCGGTGGAGGTTCTTGTGGCTGTTCCTGTGACATTTCTTGTGACTTGTCCCATCCCTGCCCTTGCAGTGCCCGCTCTCGTTCCTGTTCCTGTGCATATTCCCACACTTGTCTAGGAGTTACGGGGGGGGCCGTCTTACCCTCTAGCCTCGCTTTCAACTGATCCTCATAAGTTATGATAATATCGCCAAAAGTAAGCTCGCGGAGGCTGTAAGCCTTCTTGACTGCTTCCTTTGCGGCAAACCTAGTATGGAGTGTGAGTTGTCTTGATATATTTGTCTACTGAGGTATGAGTTTGTGCACTGACCTGCCAGCTATGTATTCGGCAGCCCTCTCCATGACTTTGGTCGGAGCGTTGTCGCTTGCCGAAGAGAAGTTCTGCCATCTTGCCTCCCTATAGGAGAGGAATAAAATCCTCTGTATCCTCCGATACCCTCTCTCTTCCTTGCTGAAGAGACGATGGATAAACTTGGTGCCTTTGTCGGAAATCATAATCTTATATATTCTTGATGTTTGACAGATATCTGTACCGATACCAATTGGCCCCAAAAGCTTAAGGAGCGACATGGCGAATATTGATTTGTTTGATTCGCATGTGTGAATGGCTGTAATTTTTTGTTGTCATAAATGTTTTATTTTTAATTATTTTTAACCAGAAGTCGATCAAGTATTTTCATGACATATTTCCTACTGCAGGTACGTAAATTTGTACAGACCTAGATAATTCGTACATTCCTTGCACATTTCGGGATCTTATCGTTATCGCTTACGCTAGACGTTAGCTGGTGGGGTGGGTACCTAGACTCTAGAGGATCCATTGATTCAATTCACTTTCATTCTTTTATATAACAATTCCAAAATAGTCACTGTAGTCTTCATTAAACTCCTTCCGACATATGATATTTGCCTAGTAAGACCGACGGCTCATGAATCACTTGTTCGTTATCAACTTAAAGGCACCTAAGTGCAACCTTCATTAATACCCCGTCCCTCAAGTCGTAACAACGCCAGCTCGCGCCAACCAATTCATGAAAATTGACACCTGAAATGACAGTGTGAGGGTATCTCCCATCATCCGAATGAGCAGAGAAATTGCTTAATATCATGCCCTCTCATTACCTCTCTTTCTCGTCCTCTTTTATCAAGGGATTGATGGAACTTTCCCTCAAAACTGCCTAACTCTCACCCAGTAGTGGAGCTCGCTCAGTGTCGCCTTCTCGCGCTCTCGCAAATTTGATATCCTTTCCAGTCGCAGCGGGCACAGCGACCACCACGGTTGCCACGAAGAGAACTGCCATGATGACAAACGCAAATATCCACTGTAGTGCGATGACCTGTCGGAGGAATTGGGATACTCCAATCGCTGCCGACAGAACGCTGAGGTTGAATCCCATGGTATAATCCTAGGGAACGTTAGAACTTATCAGGGGACGATTCAGACAAGAGTACTACTAACCTTGTAGACGACGATGAAAAACAGGCCATATACCAGAATTGACCAGATGAAGATGTTACCGAAGATACGGGCAACAAGCGAGTCAGGATGAGGCACCATGATAGCTCCATTCCAGTAGATCGCAACGAAGGTCCATGCCAACGGTCCGGAGACAACAGGTGTGTGGATGAATCGAGCATACCCGGGATGGCGGAAGTACAGCGACGTCAAATTGATGAAATTCAAAATGATGAACAACTCCGCCCAACCGAAATAGGAGCGTACAAAGAGCATCACGAAGGCGAAGTGGAACAAGTTGTTGACGATGAAGTGGCTTCCGACGGAGCAAGCCGCATTCACATGTTCCACGGATCCGGAGTAGAGGTGGGCGATGTACCCTCCTTGGAGGATGAAGAGAACGATCCTGATCGAATTGAAAATGTCAGACTCGGCATCACACGGCACAAGGGGAGGTTCTGGTAGCCTTACCAGTAGATGCTCGCGATGATGTGGTTCATTCGGAACGCCGTATAGAATGCATCATTCTGGCTCCATATCTTCCTTCGAAGCCATACGCCATCATGCGGTTTCTCGAATGTGTAGTAGATCGAGACGATGATCGACAGCAGCCAGGTGATAGTGGTCAAGACCTTGTCTGCGATATGTTAATGCTGTACTACACTTCATGATTCAAACAGGTAGGTCAATAAACCAGAGAAGTGAATGTTCGAAATTGGGATAATTGCGACATACTGCCAATACGTTAGCTGTTTCGTCTATATAAACATTGTAAAAAGGAGGTCATATATGCCAGGCATATTAACACATACCAGGTAATCACTGTGTTCTTGCTGTGGGAATCGCGCTTCGCGAACGGGTTTACTAGTTGATCAATTAGCATCGGTATCCTCATCGTCAATACCGCCAACATACTTTGATGAATTCGTTCCATCTTCAGCTATTACTCTTGTTCGAGATGTATAAGTGAAGCTAACAAACAGGGGGGAGCTTGCGAGTTGAGTCCGAACCACTTGATCTAAGCCAAACCCGAAATATATTTTATATATTTTTTCCACTGGGCCCAAACAGCGTTGAATGGAAAGGAATAAAAGCAAAAATAGAAACTGGGGAATCAAATCAGATTTTAAGGTATCGACCGGTTCGAAGCACAAAGTTGAACGACCACTCCGTCATCGAAGCGCCTGGACCCGGCGTTTGGATGACGATGGTGGGGTTCCCTTTGTATGTACGAATGTGCGGGGGAAGCTTTCGAGGTGGATCATCGGTGACGTTGATAGGTACCGGTACCTGAACGTCAGAGTTGTAATCTGTGTAATTCTCTTTTTTTTGTCTTTTTTTTTTGTTTCACTTTAGTCTTACAATACCTAAGTACATACATACATGCAATTCCCATCGTCACCGAGATGGCTGGTCTGGCTGGCTGGTACCACCGAATCAGGATTTCCCGCATGAAACCCCGGAGAAATGGGCCTATAACGTTCGATCTTCCCATCGAACCCGCCTGCGGTACTGAGCGAATCACCCCTTTTCCAGGTGTCATGGCAATTAGCTGCGGTATTAGGTAAGTAGGAAAGGGGGGCTTTGGTGCGAGCCTCTCTCCGTTTCGAGATGGCAGGATGGTTCGGATTAGGTAAGTTAGCTGTTATTACCAAGGGTTACAATAAGTCCGAGGGTTGGTTGTGAGATGTCTATGACGCTGCTTTCGCCTACAGCTTTACGTATTACGAGAGGCAGACGTAATGCCGCGTCTGACCGGACCCAAACTGCTGTTAGCTTGTTGGCTTTACTGGAAAAGATCGAGATTAGGTCCCCATCACGAGGCTACCAGTCCCATACTTAGCCATGAGCATTCTGGGGTTAGATTGGCATCTCTTCTTGAGTCTATTTATGTAGGGCCGGGGGTGGCTATGAGGCTTTGAGGTCTCTCAATTTCATCTCTTGATTGGACGGCAAAGTCCGTAAGGTAAAGCATGCGTTATGAAACTGCATGCTCTTGCCTAATATGCAAACCCGTTTACCTACCTATCTGGCGGTAACGTATCGAAATTCCACAGACGGCCAGGTAGGACAACGAAAATGAGAGAGAGAGATAGGGCGGTACATTCCTAGGCGAAGGGGGAGGAGGAGCAATTAGTCCGGCTTTGTATGTCTACAAGCCCAAGGCGTAAGATCTTTGATCCCGCGCGTGCAACGCGGGCAGGCAACATTCTGGCGAGCTGCGACGAACTTCCATTCGTTCAAACTTCTCCAAAGCTGCGGGGTGAGGCGAATCGGATCCCGTTGCATCGGAGTCCTGGAGACACAAACTAGTCACGTTCTCCCTCTACCGATCCTTGTCCTTATTGGACAGGGCTTATTTTTGATTCTAATTCATCGCTACTACTGGTTTCGTCGTAAAAGCTATGTCGCGAGGGTTTATATTTCGGTATGTTCGCTAAATAGGGCTATGGATGTGACAGTTTTGGTTGTCGTTATCCTACATATCATGTTGCATTAATACTGTTGTCTCGGAAAGTGGACGTTGTGAGAGTTGCTCATACCTGCATGACAAGTACTTCAAGTGAACACAAATATTCTCCTCTGATGTCTCACCAACGGTTGCTAAAATTGCACATT